CCCTGCAAAGCGCCACCTCTCAGGGCTTGTTTTGAATTGCGTTTAGTTCCAAGAACTTCAAAGGCCGCGCGCTGTCCCCACTGGCAGTGCTTCTTCCCCCGCCGGTGACCTCCACCCCACTGTGGCCCCTGCCGGCCCTGGGGCGCCGGCGCCGCGCCATCTCCAGCGCCAGCAGTCAGACCCCCCATCGGCCCGCTGCTTGTTGCGGGGCGCTGGGCAGGCACCGGCGGGGTCCAGCGCGTGCTCCCAGAAGCCCCGGCTGGGGTTCGCCTGGCCTGCCTGGCCTGCCGGGACCGCCGCAGGTCTTGGCACCAGAAGCGGAGAGTCCCTTTGTTTTGTACGTCCCAGGAAAAATGAGGGTGGTATCAAAACAAGCTTGTTTAAAAAAACCCTGTCTGGTTTCCAGCCTCTGATCTGGATGTGTGGTAGGAGTCCTTGTAAAGGGCTGTTTGTGTTTCTTTTAGGTTTGCAGTAGCCACGCATAACGCTCGGTCATTTAAAGGGCAGAGATAAAGGCTTTGCTTTCTTCTGCCCACTCCCCCTGCATAGAACTTCTTCATTCTGGTTTCATACAAATTAGACCTCGTAGAACAAACATTTAAATCGACGTTTTCACTTATTTCTGTACTGCACACCAGCAAGGGCTCTGGTGACAGTAAATATTCTAATTAATACAACTCAGATCCCTGCTGCTTGCTTCCTAATATATTTCTAAGCAGACTTCTTTGAGTGCATCTCCACTGAAGCCCAGTACTTGACGTATTCCAGTCTGTCCTAAAACCTGAGCACTATATGGCTATTTGCTCACTGTTCTTTCGCCTTCATATGACGCATACGTACATACGACCCAGAGGCAACAGAGAGGATTTAAGCTGTTTCCAGTCAAAATCACTCTAAACCTCATCTTCACACAGGCTGTTTGTGTTGAAACCCACGTTAAAGAAAAAAAATCATATGTTTCAGAAGAAGAAGCTGGACATGGCGTTGCCGTCGTCCATTGCAATAGGGACTTTCCGGTGTCGGAAAATGGAGAAAAAAAAAAGAATCTTGATTACCAATGTGAAATTAAATAAAGCCAGGCGCCCGTGCGCTGATTCGCTTGTGGCCTTGGGAACCATTCGGAAGCGCTGACCAATCGCCTTCTCTTTCTCGCACGCAGGCGTCCTGCCCTGAGTGTCCGTGCTATCCCATCGCCCTCCGTTCAGCACGGAGGGTCCTGCCTCACAGCCATCCTGGTGACTGTGTGTGTGCCCTTTCTCCTGGGGGTTATCAGTGCTTACTAGGACGGTTTAAAAACTGTTCCCTAGGATTCTCTCAAGTGTCTGCTTGCCCTCCAAGATTGCTGCGTTCAGATTCTGTAAAGATGTGACAGGTGAATCTACAAATCAAAGCGTCCCACCAAAACCCAGGGAAAATGTTTGTTTCTGATCGTCCACACTGGTAGGCAGCTAACCCTCTAATCTGCATCATTAGGGCTGGTGACAACAGCCAAATGTGAGGAGAAGTATTTTTCCATAGAGACTCACCCACCCTCTGGGGAGAACTGACCAATTACCAGTTTTTCTGTAACCTTTAGGTCAAGAGCTGGGATGTTTTAGACATGCACATGAAGGGACTTTGTCATTGAGCACGCTTTGCCTCTGCTGCACTTACATAACTGCACTGACGACAGATTCTAGAGACAGAAATCAACAGAAGTAACTAAGACAACAGGAAAGCTCCAAAAATATTGCGTACCTTAAAATATTGTATTGCCGTGCAACTCAACAACAATCAAGTCATGAATACGGAACCCCTGGGGGTGGCAAGTGAGGTCTGGATCCTTTTTGATGCAGAGTTAGAGCTGCATTTTACCCTGTGGAAGAAATACTGCTCCTGAGAGGTTTGAAGGCCAGGGGACAGAACGGTGTCTGAGATGGGACTTGTACCAGTGATAGGAGCGATAGCCAGTCCATCTGTGAGCTCAGGAAATTGGGCATCCAGTCTGTATAATCCACTGCCTGTGCCCCGCCGAAGAGGACTGTTGTACTTTAAAGAGATGATGCATCATTTCCGTGTTCTGTCTCTGAGCTGTCACACACGGGCCCAGCCCTCTTCCCCAGAGGGGAAGTTGTGCTATTTAAGAGGGAGAGGTAACCCTTCCTTTTATCCTGAGACTTTTCTGTTTCTATTTGTAGACAATTCAGTAAGTGTTTGCATATCGGTGTTACTGATACTAATTGGTGCCGTGATGTGTATACTTTTTAGTGTTTGAAGTCACAAAATAGCACCCCATCCTTCCCTGGCGTTCTTTAGGAGCTCGTTCTTGTGGTTCCTGTAACTATTTTGTTCTCTTTTTAAACTTTTACTTTTGCGTCACCATCAGATCTTCCCATTCTAGAATACCCTATTTATTCTACTGCTGTGATCAGTTTGTAAGAGAAGAGAACTGCATAAGCTTTTAAAAATCTGTCGATAAAATTCATAGCCCCTGATCAACAAGGCAAGAAAGATCATTCAGGATTAAATGAAAAACAAAACCTTAAAAAGGCAATGAGGTTTTCTCACTCCTCTGTCGCATTAAATTCTCCAGGACTCTGTTCCCATTGGGACGGGTTCACATCTCTCTGCCCTGAGGGACAGCTCTGTACCTCTCCATCCTATCCGCTAAGACCCGGTGGGTTAATAAATATCACAAGGGCAGAATCAGAAATGAGCTGCGGATTCACTTAGTGGAGCCACATTCCTGGACAAGCGCCAAGTGATTTCAATAAGGTGCTCCAAGCAAATAGCATGCCCCCCCCCCATCTCCCCACTGCTGTGCCCCCTCCCCAACACACAGCGCTCCCCACTGTGAAAGGCTGGAGCACCAGTATCATTACATGCAAACAGTCTGGTTCAATCCTCAGATCAGCCCCAGAATTATGCCTGCACTTCCCTCGTATTCCCCTGTTCGTCCTATAGTGATTATGAATGCAGCAGAAAATTAAACTTGGTAACAAGTGTTTCAGCATCTGGGAAATGTTGTATACTACTGGAAAAAAAACAAAACATTCAATTTATGTACTTGCAATCCAGCAGTTTTGAATTAAGATTGTTTACTGGATATCCTCTTAAACCCATCGAACATCACCTCACGTCGCCAGGCCATGTGGGTTGCTGTGGAGTTTGAACAACATGGCAATAACTGGGTGGGTGGCTGAGGCGGGGGGGCGAAGAAGAAGATCCTGACTGCTCAGGAGAGTCTCCCCTGGGCAGGAGTGAACTGCAGCCCTGTCTCTGCAGTGTGGCTCGCAGGCTTACACGAGCACATCTGAACGTGCTGGAATCTTCACTTCAGGGGGAAAATATCTCCAAAACTGTCTCTTAGCAACCTTTGATGGGGTAGGCTCTCCAGCCTCAGGTGAGAGGGAGTAGCGGAGAATGCTGCTTTTTTAATACATCAGCAGACAGGCACAACTGGCACCTGGGGATTTGTTCTGTTCAATTAAGATTGACCAGGACTGCTGAGTGCTGTTAGCAGGTGTGTGGCAACAACAGCTGGAGATGAATGAATGATTCAGAAGGGCAACTCTGTCTTCAAACAACAGGAAAAAGGACGTGGGCAGCTGTCCTGCGTCCTGCTTTCCTGTCTGTGCGGGGACTCAGGAGCCTGCTGCTCTCTTTAGATGCCCCCAGACTGCCTGTCCTAAGCAGTTGTAAGGGCTTGAATGGCAGGCATCCCAGGGATCGCCTTGTGTCTCTCACGCTTGAAACTGCAAGACCAGGAGAGCTGTTCTCGAGGTATTTTGCATGTGTAGCTGACTTTGTCCTCTGCCCTGTGCATATTATTTATTGATTCCATTATTAAAAAAAAAAAGTCAGCAAAGTGCTCTAATTGTAAGTGGTATAGACAGTCACATAAAACGATGACCTCCTTTGTACGGATGAGGTGAACGGAAGTTCTCTCCTTGGTAATGAAATGCTCGTCTGCTGTAAGCGCTGCATACTGAGTGCTCGAGGAGAAGCTCTGAAGGATCTAATTGGAAGTGCTTCTGTTCTTTCTGAATAAAAGTCGCACACTTTGGAATGGGCATCACACAAACAGCGGCAGTGACTGTCACGGAAAATATTCCTCTTGTTGGATTTCACGGGGGGGGAGAAAGAGGTTTCATTTAAAAGGATTGTTTATATTGCCATTATCATTCCCTTCCTGCTCTTGTCATTGCGGGCAGAAGGCACCTCTCTCCTCAGCGTCTACTCTCTCTCTAAATGGACTCTCACAGTGAGGGAGGCTGTCCTGAGCTGCTATTTCAGTCATCAGTGACACTGCAATCTCAGTGCAATGTTTTAATAGCTATAAGCTGCGTGAGCAATGATAGATTCTCCTGTTTTTAAAAGCCACTCTGCATTGCATGCTTTACTGAAAGTATCAGACCCAAGAGCGATGTAATTACAGCACTATGTGTCGCACCAATACGATGAGCATTTATCCCATTATAATAATTTTTAGCAGGACACAACCAGAAAATGCAACAATACTTTAGCAACAGCATACTGGCATAGTTTAACAGGATAGCTCTGGCAAAGTACCCGTAAAACATCTTACGCAAGGGAAGAATTCCACGTTTCTGACTATTAGGTAATTAGGACAGCAAGGTATTCACCATGGAAGCAGGACAAACTCACAGTTCCTATCTTTCTGGTTGTTGTTTCAGTCAACGCAAAGAGCAACCAGCCTTCTGAGCAACTACTTTCCAAACAAGAAGAGCACTTGCAATATGTGCAGACTGCCCTTGTAAGCACCCGCGTCTTCACTCTCATCGAGCCTGAGCCGCACTGTTCTCCGCTTGGACTGGATGTAAAAGTGACATTGCAATTTAAAATTAAAGAGACATTCGCCTCCATCAACCCCCCCCCTCCCCTCCCTGCAACACATACACACACCTCCCATTCCCAACACCAAAGAGTTACAAAATGCTGCATGCCCAGCTTGGAAACTAGCGGGAGACAAGAGAGAGGTATTGAATAGACAGCGGTACCTGCAGACACGGTCAGGCTTGTTCCTCGTTCTTCCCAGCTCAGCCGGGCAGGAGTAAATCCCCTGCAAGGTGAAACGGCACGAATATTCCCTGTCAGCGGCCGCCTCTCTCTAACTCGACTTCCTCCTTCCCTTTGCAGCCATGTTCACGGGACTCAGGGGGATACAAAGCAATTAGAAAGCAGCCCTATAGCTTCCAGACGGAATATATAATGGAATTAGCTGAGGGGGCTGTTGTGCTGGCGAGTCTGGCAGCCTGTCCGCGAGCGGGCGAGCGAGCGCCTGCGAGTGAGGGGAAGGAGGGGAGAGAGAGAGAGTGCGAGAGAGAGAGAGAGATCGCCTGGTGCTCTGGGGGGTCAGGAGAAAGCAGGGCTGGGGCCACCTGCTCTGGCAATGCCAGGCGAAAGAGAAGGCTGGCTCCTCAAGACGCTCTGACTGGTCCTCTCTGTGCCTGCGAGTGGGTGGCAAGGAAGCTGATCTGTGTGTGAGAGAGGGAGCGAGACCGTGTGTGTGTGAGAGAGGGGGAGAGAGAGCGAGTGACTGACTGACTGACTGAATGTGTGTGTGGATGATTGTGCCATGAATGGGAATGAGAAGGAGGAGGTGCGCCCCCCTCCCCGCAGCACCCCCCCCCCATCCACCCTTTCCTCTTTTTAATGCTGAAATAGTGGCTCGACAGCCGCTCAGTGGCTCAGACTAATTTGGATCCTACATATAGAGCATCCATCCCTCTGCTCCCGCCACCCTCTCTCCCTCTCCCTCTCTCTCTCCTTTTCATCCTCGGCTGGCGGAGCGCAGCCCCGCTCAGCACAGCAGAGCGCAGCCAGCGCTGCTCCCCAACACAGCCGCAGGCGGGAGGCGCGCAGCATAATTGCCTGGTGTTCTGAAAAGGCTGAGACGTCTCGGATCGCTTTTTCCCCCCGTTTTTTTTTAAAGAAAGCGTTGTTTTCAGAGAAAGACGCGTTGGTTGTTTTTTTTTTTTAGAATCATTATCTGCGCCTCCCGATTGTCGCGCAGGTTTAACGGCGGTGAGTCCCTCCCTGCTCCTGGTTTGCGGCATCGAGGAGGGTGAACGGCATTCCGGTCATTCAGCCCTCGTTTCCCGTAATTTATTACATTCGGAACGATGTGACAGGAGGGAAGAGCATCTGTCTGACCTTGAGATAGCTGCCAGATTTGCATTTCTCACAAACCTGCTGTAGAAGACCCTAAGAAGCAGCATTAATAAATGCAGTGTAAGACCAGTCGCTCGATCTATAGGCAGATTAATAGACAAGCCCTCTCTGCTCTGGGTACTGGGTATTTTTTTCTGCGTGAATACATTCCACCTGTTTAGCCACATATTTTGTGAAGTCCCAGCTGGGAAATTTCACTCACTAAATTCTGAGCTGTGGCCCGGGCAAAACATGTCATGCAATTCTAAAATTACAACAGATACTGCAGAGAGAAAGACAGAAGGACAGAGAAGGGTGGATGAACAGAGAGAGAGGGAATGGAAGGGAGAGAGAGGAAAGGGAGCTGAGCAGGGGATTGAGAAATGGGTATTTTCTTCTAAACGCACACCAGTTCAGCGGTGCTTTGATTTTGGCGAATGCACACGCCCCTCATTAGGGCCAAGTCTCCGGGGATCACAGCAATTGGTGCCTTTTATCAGTGAGAGCGTTGCAGTGGTGGGAACTTTAATAGGATTTACTGGCGTTAGGAGGAGAGAGAAAGCTCTGCGTTAGGGATAGCTGAGCAGAACTGCGATTGCTAATGAGTCTGTCTACAAGCTCAGCTGAAGTTTGCCCCCTATCACTTTAATTGGAGCTGATTATTAAACTATATCAGCCACCCCATTTGGCAAGCTGCAGTGCTGTTTTTAAAAAGTGTTAACCCCCCCACACACACACCTCATCTTTTAACATGGCCTTGCTTTGAAATTAAGGGAGAACTGATTCACAACTTAGCAATTTCAGGCTAAAACAAAGGAATGACTACCTTACCACAATACGTGAGAAAAATAAATGCAAATTGACTTCAGGTCTAATTGAGTCAGATATCAGATCCACAGAAATATATTAAATATCGCAGCTATTACCCTTTTGTAATTGGTCAGAACTCTTAACGCGCGATTTATCATTTTAATATTAACAGGATCAAAACCACCAAATAGGATCTCCATGTCTTAAAAAATGATTACCTTGCTCCACATGTTGCAGAGCAGTAAGGAAAAACCAGTTTGGATTTGTGTAAAAAAAGATGAGAATGATTTCCTCTGTAAGACAGGCCAGCTCTGATGCCTGCAACTACAACTGGGCGACCTGGAAGAGAATATAATGGACTGTCCTCTTCTTTCCCTTCTCTGAGTGGGTTCTAGGGTGGGAGATCTGACGACTTTTCAGACGCCGTTTCATTCATTGACAGCTCCACAGCAGTGGGAAACGTTTTCAGCAGCTGCTTGAGTTTAGTGTTTAGAACCCGAGCCGACTAGAGGAGCTCACAACGGCCGCCTTCCCGAGTTCCTCCCCCGTCGCTCTTCCGATTCATGCGAAAGAGCAAAGCGTCGCCGGGAAGGTCCTACTGTTTGATGTTCCTGTGTTTTTGAAAAGGCGGTGAATGAATGGATTTGTTTTCCATGGGATTCTGCGGTGATTGGTAATGGGAGGTGAAGGCTAGGGTATGAGACTGGGCCTAAGTCTATCCCTCCCCCCTCTCCGAGCTCCTCATCTATAATGCACTTCATCTGCAGTTGTAAATGTCAGGGGCCAGTATGGTGCTGTATTTTATAGCCCTTCTTACAAGCTGTGCTGTCATGAGGTGTAGCGTGCTTGCTTGCAGTAAAGCCACACAGTCAGAAAGGCTCGACTGGAGCTCCCTCTCACAAGGTATGGACTGAGAAACCCAGACGTGCCCCAACCCCCTCCCAGCACGAGACGGCTTGCCCTCAGTTGAACCTGTTCTAGCCTTCAGACCACAAATGTCGGCTTCAATACACATTTATAATCTCCCTCGATGTGTATGTGTGCTGTGTCCGTTAATGGGTCCCAGAAGAAAGTAAGCTGCTGCTTCTTCTACTTCTGGGAGGAAACTGAAACAGTCATTTCATTTTAGGTTTTGTTGCGATGATCGAATATCTCAGTGGGTATGTGCTGTTTTAGACAGATGCTCTGTCAGCACAGCTGTACACAATGACTTGACTTGGCCACTCCTGTCAAACAGCATGAGACCCCCCCCTCCCCTCCCACCCAGCACACACACTCGCTCCTTATTAATGGCACTCTGCATCTGATTAGGTTTAATTAGCAGCCTGTCTGAGCACCACACCATGTGAGACAGTGTGAGAGAATCGTTAGTGGTGAGAGTGTTGATGCTGAACATAGAAACTTTTTTTTTCCCCTTGTGCAAAAAATGGTAAAAGAAAATCAGAGTGTTAATACAGACAAGAGCAAAACCCATGTTTTTGCAGCCCTTGCAGACCATAATTCAAACATCCTGCGGGAGCCGGGCTTGTGCGCCGATTCTTCATTTCGGTGGGTGTTGTCTGGCAAGAAGGCAAGTGATCTCCCGATCTGCTGGCCTCTGGAGCGTCAGTCTTGAGCACCGGACTGTGTGCTTGCTTGTCTGAGCCCAGGGTGGGAAAACCTGAGCTGGATATTTTAAATCCAGAAAAATGTAGCCTGCTCAGTGATAGTCACACAAAATATTTTTGACACTTAAGGTAGGCAATGGGAAAGATTAAACCATTTTAAGCACCTTTCAGGAATGCTGCTTAATACAAAATACAATTGTAGATGCTGCATTCATACAACATTTGAACCTACCCCTATTTTGAAACTATTAGAAGAAAGTTGGCCCTTTCTGATTCTTCCTGTAGCTGTACACTGTGGGTTTAACATGTATGGAATTAATATGTCCCGGAAGATCTTTCTTTATGGATTTTAGCAGATGCCTCCTCTCTTCTGTTTTGAAGGAAGATGCATATACCGGCGGAGAACTACATTTCCCAGAAGTCCCTGGGAGCCCCACGCTCTGTCGCTGGTGTTTATTTTTATTGCTCCTTAGCAAGATGAGTGTTGTGCATGTCATATTCTCAAGCGTTCAGATGTGCATTAGTGTTGAAAGTCGTTATGTGACGCTTTAATGTTCATCTTCACCCTTTGAACGTGTTCTAGTGGAAAGCTGATATGGAAACACTGGAGCTGTCGCTGTACAGAGCTTCTGATTATTTTACGCATCTGAACCAGGAACGTGTGAAAGTTCTGCAGTTTTCGCCCAGAGACAGTGAAAGCTGTCAGGTTTCTTTTCAGATCTCAAATATCTCTTAAACCTTTCTCGCCCCAGATATTTTTAGAATAAAAAATAGCCACCCATTAAGAACCTTCTGAGCTCGCAAGTGCAAAAACAAACGACGCGGAGAAACGCGTTTTCTGTACACGGTGACGGAGACACGCGTGTGTAGAATGCAGTAGGCTCAGCGGGTTTGGCATTTTACAAGCCGAAGGGCTCAGCTGTCCTCAAACACAAAGATTTAGGACTGCATCGTTTTGGCCTGTGTTCAGGAACCCTGTTCTGCTCGGGCGCTTTAATAGGAGCGATGCTCGTTTCGCGAGAGAAGAGGCGCTCTCTTGTGAACAGAGCACACGCGTGTGCGCGGCTTTGGCATTGATGAATGTCCAGTGCAAAGCTCCAGCGCGCACACAGGGACGGCGCAGCGGTTTGTAGACGCCGACACGCAGGGATTTGAATCCCAAGCCGGTGTAGGCTGAATTTAAACACAGGAGTGGGAGGAGAGACTTTGACGAGACGGAAAACATCCGCCGATGTAGTTTACCGATTCAGACATGCAAGCAGGAGGTCTGTATAGCCCGGGCTCATGCACAGGCGAGATAAAACGCCGGTACTTCCAAGCGTGATCCCGAGGCGGAGTCGGGGGGAGATGCACAGTTCTCGCTGTGTTTTTGACGCTCGTTTAATAGAATCCACCGGCTCTCCTTCCGCATGGCACAGAAAAGCCAAATCAGAGTGATATTGTAGAATATTTCATTCGTGTGTCTGTCCTCTCGGCGGCTGTGGGTGTTGTTTGGGAAACCCGGGGGTGGGGTAGGGGGGCATGAAAACTAGTCTTCCTTCAGCCCCTGCGTGGGAGCGTGCAGCCCAGCCCGAGAGCCAGGGTGCGATGAGTCCACACGGGAGCACCAAGCTCAGGACACAGGTGCGACATCTTCCAGGTGTACTGGGAAGAAAAAGCTCAGGATTATCTATATTTTCGTGATATTTCGCGTCAGCACAATGCAGCATTATTGTCCACAGCGCTCCCTGGCCGCCAGATGTCGGTGCTCCGGGGGGTTTCGGGGGCGCGACGGCTGCGCGCTCGGGCGAACGGCGATGCTGTGTGCGCGCTCAGGTGAACGCGCGCCTTCACCGCTGTGCTGTACAGCTTCCCGAGACGCAGAGATTTTATGTATTTTAGAAAGGAAGGGTACTTAAATGATGGGCTTGTGCATCTGAATTGCCTTGGCCGTGTCGCACTGATGAGCCTTGCTCTGGGC